CCTGAACTCCCTGTGTAGCCCAGGCTGACCCTGAACTCACAACCATCCTGCCTCAGCCCCCTGAGCGCTGGCATTATAGGCACCACCCACCTGGGTGCTTAGCGTTTATGTGGCTGTTTCTGGACTGCTCGAGTCAGCCTCAGCTGGGTTTTTGCATCAGAGAGTTTTTGATAAGGAGTGGAATTTCTGCACAGAGCTGTTTTCCCGCTCAGCTTTGCCAGCGCAGGGCGGTGGGTTCTCAGAACACCATCAGACATCAATGCCGATGGGTGCCTAGATTAGATATCCGTGCATGCTGCCTGCCAGGAAGGCATGTAAGCACACATGGCCTGCATGTGCCAGTAGTTCAGCCACACTCGGGCTGCATGTCATACAAACTCCAGCCCCTGAAGACCTGAGTTAGAGAAATCAAAGCCAGGAAGGAGCCAGACATGCCTTCCCCTTACTCTAAGAGACCGCAGGTCCTGGAGTGGGTGGGGGACTTTTCCTCTATCACTAGCCAGTTAGTGGCAGAGCTGGGCTAGGTTCTGTTTCCTGCTTGTCAACAAAGTTTCATTGTCACATATTATGTTCCATGTCACCCCCACCTCCCACCACCTGCACTGTAAAAGTTGAAAATGCTTGGGAAATTAAGTTTGTTTTTTTCTGCATATACGGAAATCAAAGGCTTCTTTTGCAGGGCTGGGGAGATGGCTCAGTGGGTAAGAGTGTTGTGTAAGCATGAGGCCCTGAATTCGGATCACCAGAACCTATGTAGAAAAGCTGGTCATGGCTGCATACACCTGTAGGGGGTGGAGACAGGAGGATCCCTGGGACTTGCTGGCTGCCAGCCTAGCTCGAGATTCAGTGAGAGACCCTGTCTCAAGGAAGTAAGGTGGAACATGATAGAGCAGGTCTCTGCACTCATGTGGGTACACACACACACACACACACACACACACACACACGCACACACGCACGCACGCACAGGCACAAACAGGTGTGCCCTCCCCAACCCATTAGACAGCTCACACTGTGTTCACCTTGCTTTTCTTCGGTACTGAATCTCTGGTCAATACTGCTCAGTGCAGGAGGACTTTTTCAAACCACTGTTGGAAAGGACCAGAACATTCCCTGGCCCAGCCAGCAGAGTTTAGCGTGCTTCCCGTTTTCAGACAGCAGTAGGGCTGCAGACACTCACCTTGTAGCCTCTTGCATAGATGTGAGTGCCCTGTGGGGTGCAGGTGGGTCTGGGATTTTGATGCCTGTTACCCAGTTGCCTCATCTAGTTGTCCTTCTGCCTTGTGGGTTGGGCAATGGCATCTTGGCACTCTCCGCTGGAATTAGGAGACATCTAGGGCATAGAGCAGGAGCCCCTTGGAGGAGCCTGAGCTGGACAAGCTTCCTGGGAGCATGGGGTCCATGGCTGAGCTCATGGGTGTGGTGGAGAGAGGGTGGGTGGAGGAGCTGCTGAGGCAGAGGGAACAGCAAGTGCCAAGGTCCTGAGGCAGGAAGTCAGTCCTTTCCCAAACCCCACTTTGCCTGGAATCCAGAGAGGGGAGGTCAGGTGAGTGGGCAGACAGCTCCAACCAGGCAGTCCGAATTGAGGTCAATTGTCCCCACACTAAGAGTGGTGGGCAGCCCTTTGGGGCTCTCACCTGGAATGGGGACACCATCTGGGCCTTCTGAGGTCAACTCAGACTGTGTTTCCCCTAGGGTTGCTCAGAAAGAGCCTGGGTGTCCACCCCAGCTCCCCAGGGCAGCAGCTAGCCACAAAGCCTCTGGAAGAGACCCCATTCCCGCTGTGCAGGACCCTGGACGTGATTTTTTTATTTATTCTTTTAGCCACTTTACAAATGTTTGTGGAGGCCTGCAAGTGCCAGGCACTGTGGCGGGTGCTAGATAAACAATGCTGACCCAAAGCGGACGAGGACCCAACCCTAGTGGAGTTTAGAGTCCAGCGAGAGCCACCAACTTCCATAAAGGGCTAGAGAGTAAATATTTCAGGCTTTGTGGCTTATACAGACCCTGCCAAAACTCCCAGCTATCCTGTTGCAGTGAAGAAGCAAGCCCTAGGTCCTATGTGAATAAATAGGTGTGACCATGTTCCAATAAAACTTTATTGACAAACAGTGTGGAGGTCGGATTTGGCCCTTGGGGTGTGTGGTTGGCCTGGTGTTGGTCTAGCAGTACAAGTTTACCAACACATATGTATCAGAGGTGGAGGAAGCAGAAAGTAGGTGCAAAGGAGGGAGGTGGAGATGATTGGGGAGGCTAATCTATGGAGGTGCTGGTGGGCAGGTGTGTAGAGTAAGGGCAGTAAGTCCTGGGAAGATCTTGGGGGGAGAAGAAACAGTGTTCTCAAATACTCTGAACAGGAAGTACTTGAAAAGTAGCAAAGAAGTCAGCAGGGCTGTCACTGAGCCAGGTTGGGGGACAGTGGGCACTGGTCAGATGGTGGGACAGGTTGGAGATAGGGGACAGGATGGGAACAAGGGACAGGCTGGGTTCATAATGACCTCTGGTTCTGTCTGTGAAGCGAGGTAGCCTTTACAGATGGTTTCTAGAGTGGACATTTGACAGTCTGCTGCATGGAAACCAGATTTGGGGGACAGAGGTGACATCAGGGAGACTGGGAAGAGAGGAAGGCTTGGTCCAGGGTGGACATGTTGTATGGGGAGACACTGAATCTGGTTGGCTGCTGACAGCAGAGAGAGGCTTTGTGGGTGACTAGGATGGGAGGTGTTCTAGTTTGTTTCTCTGCTGATGTGATAAACACCACAACCAAAAGCAGTTTGGTGAGGAAAGGGTTTACTTGGTTCACATGTTACAGTCCATCCCTGAGGGAAGCCAGGGCAGGAACTCAAGGCAGGAATCTGGAGGCAGGAGTTGAAGCAGAGACCACAGAGGAACGCTGCTTACTGACCTGCTCCTCCTGACTTGCTCAGTTACCTTTCTTATACAGCCTAGACCCACCTGCACAGGGATGGCACTGTCCACAGTTGGCTGGGGACTTCCATATCAATTAGTAATTACAAAAAATGCCTAAGGCGGGGCTGAAGAGATGGCTCAGCAGTTAAGAGCACTGACTGCCCTTGTAGAGGATCCAGGTTTGGGTCCCAGCACCCACAGCTAACAACTGTTTATAACTCCAGTTCCAGGGATACCCTCTTTTGGCCTCTTCACACATTGTACACACATGCTACACTCACATACACACATGTAGGCCAAACACTTATACACACAAAATAAAAGTAAATTAAAAATAAAAATAAGAAATTGTCTCACAGACATTGCCCCAGGCCAATCGAACTTCAAGTGAAGTTCTCTCTTTCCAGGTAACGCTATTTTGTGTCAAGTTGACAGGTAGTGTGAGCATGGGGGGGGGCCAAGGCTGACCCCCAGCACTGATGAAGAGGGAACCTCAGAGGTGGAGTTGGTATGGGGTACTGGGGACGAGCTACTCCCTTGACAGCTGTACAGAGCTGTGTCTAAGCAGTCCTGTGTGCCTGGTCCCATGTAGTACCCAGTGAAGGACACCAAGCAGCAGGGACAGGTGGGGCCTGAGAATTAAGTGACCCTGTGAGGCAACAAGTGGCAATATCTTTACATAACAGGACACTTTCCTGGAGTGACACTGACACTGGTGGGTCCTTGAGATGGGACAGCAGAAACCCAAGATGGGTTCTGCTGACACAGATGCTTAGAGCACCCTGCCTGTTAATGATTTGGGGGCTCTGTAGCCATGACCTGACTTTTGGGGGTCAAGAGTCTTCTCTGAAGGAGTTCTAAGTCTGCTAATTCCACGTCTTTGGGGACTCTTGTCTCTCCTGGTGCCTCATCTAGAAAATAGCACAAAGGAATAGGGAATTCTGGAAAAGTGCTTCTCACACTTGGGTCTGGACGCCTCAGACAATTGCCGAGCACCATGGATGCCAGAGCCCATGTGTCCTGCGGCCACATCGTAAGTGTGAAATGACCAGGTCAGACTGTGGCCATGATGCCCTGGAGAGACAGGAAATCCATATAATGGGGTTGTGACCCACAGTGACACTAAATAACCCCAGTCAGGAAGGAAGCTCCGGTGTAAGATGCCAAGTGGGTTTAAGTACCGCTTCAGCTGCGGGGTCTGTGGTGCTGTGAGCTGTGGGAAATACCAAATGCAGTTCTTTCTAAAAAGAAAACTATTGTGGGCAGGGTGTGGTAGCGCATGCCTTGCCTTTAATCCCAGCACTTGGGGAGGCAGAGGCAGATCTCTGTGAGTTTGAGGCCAGCCTGGTCTACATAGCAAGTTCCAGGCCAGCTGGGACTACAGAGTGACCCTGTCTCAAAAAGACCAAAAACCAACCAAACAAACAAAAACTATTGTGTCTGTGTGAACAAACATGTTATGTGTGTATATACATGTGTGTGAGAGTGTGGAGGTCAGAGGTCCATGCACATGTGTATGCACACGCGTGTGAATGTGGAGGTCAGAGGTCCATGCTGGGTGCTGTCCTCAGTTGCTCTCCACCTTTTTTTTTTTGTGACAGCATCTCTCACTGAACCTGGAGCTGACTGATTTGGCTAGACCATCTGGCCCATGAGATCCAGGGATCCTCCTGTCTCTGCCTCCCCAGTGCTGAGACTGCAGGCACACCTGGCTTTTATGTGGGTATGGGGATCGAACTCAGGTCCTCAGGCTTGAGGCAGCAGTTTATCAACTGAGCTAGATTCCCCAGTCCCTAAAACACACTTCTTCTAAGGGTCCCTTTATGCCCCAGGCTGGAGGCTCTTAGCCCAGCTTGTCCTCCTCCCTCCAGCCAAGGATGGAGCTGGTGAAGCCAACACAGCCCTGGAGCACTCTCTGGGGGGAATTCTGGACAAAGTGGCCTCACTTTCCTTGTTGAGCTGGGCAGGGGTTGGCATGGTGGGGTGTTAAAATGAACAAGCGGCAGGAGACTAGCCCACCTGTGACTTTTCTGCGCCCTGGTTCTGTTTGTGAGGCTTAAAAACCCCTCCCTCCCTCCTTGTCTTTCCAGAAGAACCGAGCACACATAAGGCCATCAGCTCACCCTCCGGACTTGCATACCCCGATGATGTCCTGGACTATGGCCTCAAGCCATACAGCCCCCTCGCCAGTCTTTCTGGCGAGCCCCCCGGCCGCTTTGGAGAGCCGGATAGGATAGGGACCCAGAACTTTCTGAGCCCCGCCAAGCCAACAGGGGCCTCAGGCCCAAGCCCTCGGATCGAGATCACTCCATCCTATGAACTGATGCAGGCAGGGGGGGCCCTCCGTGGGAGAGATGCCAGCCTGGTGCCTGAGCCGCCGGCCCTGGCCCTAGCCGGGGTGGCCGCCAGCCCGAGGTTCACGCTGCCCGTGCCAGGCTTCGAGGGCTACCGCGAGCCCCTCTGCTTGAGCCCCGCTAGCAGTGGCTCCTCTGCCAGCTTCATTTCCGACACCTTCTCCCCCTACACTTCGCCCTGCGTCTCGCCCAATAACACCGCAGGGCCGGACGACCTGTGTCCCCAGTTTCAAAACATTCCTGCTCATTATTCCCCCAGAACGTCGCCAATAATGTCACCTCGAACCAGCCTCGCCGAGGACATCTGCCTGGGCCGCCACTCGCCCGTGCCCCGTCCAGCCTCCCGCTCCTCCTCACCCGGTGCCAAGCGGAGGCATTCCTGCTCCGAGGCCTCGGTTACCCCTGTGCCCGGAGCCTCACCCCAGCGCTCCCGGAGCCCCTCTCCGCAGCCCTCGCCGCGCGTGGCAGCCCAGGACGACGGCATCCCCGCCGGGTACCCCCCCACGGCTGGCTCTGCGGTTCTGATGGATGCCCTCAACAGCCTCGCCACGGACTCGCCCTGCGGGATCCCCTCTAAGATCTGGAAGACCAGCCCCGATCCCACCCCCGTGTCTGCCGCCCCATCCAAGGCCGGCCTGCCCCGCCACATCTACCCTGCAGCCGTGGAGTTCCTGGGGCCCTGCGAGCAGGACGAGAGGAGGAATTCAGCTCCGGAGTCCATCTTGCTGGTGCCCCCCACCTGGCCCAAGCAGCTGGTCCCTGCCATTCCCATCTGCAGGTAAGTGGGGCTTTGAGAATGGTCTGTTCCCAGGTTGGAGCTGTTTTCTGGTTGTTTGCATCAGATAATAGGGAGACTTGATGTATATCCTGGTTCAGCTGCTCTCTGGCTATGAGGCCAAGAAGGAAGTTAACTTTCCCACTTTCCTCATCTGTAAGATGGGTACAATGGGCTATCAGCCTCACTGGGTGGTGGTTGTCACTGTACAATATAATGGCTGTCTCCTAGGGCTCCTGGTTCACTCCATTCAACAAGAGTTTATGAAGTTCCTAATACCCACTGGATTCTTTGACAGGAGCAGACAGTAGTGAGTTAGCTAAATAGGCCAGCATGCATGACTTTGGGGTCAAGCCTCACTATGTAACACCTGTTACCTCATTATAAGAGGAACTGGGTGGGGGTACCTGTTACCTTCCTTAATACTATGTTCAGCCATAAAGAGGTCCTAAAAACAAATAAATTCATAGGCTTCAATCCACATGGAGCTTAACAAATGAGTGTGGATCAAAGGCTAGAGGCTTTGGGATCTTTGGGGCCTGAAGGTGTGTCCTGGCTCTGCCATCTGTTGCCGGTATGATCACTCATGGCACTCTGGTGCTGTCTGCCTCTTGCTGTACTTGCAGCAGACATTGCTAATCAATTGCCACTTTTTTTTCTAATTCAGTACCTTTTTGATGCCAGAGTAGGCATTACCAATCAATCAGGATTCTTTCTCTCTTCCACCCTGCACTTTTTCTGAGCACGTTTCATGTATTCCCTGAGAGAGAGGATCGTAACAGAACCCACCTCATGGTGGTAAAATGGCACGCCAGCCAGCGTTGCTATACACAGCAGGAGGTCAGAAAAGGGACAGCTGCTGTTATGATAAGCGAGTCGAGGTCTCTCAGGGTGTCTTGGTTTCTTTTCCTGTTGCTATAAAACACCCTGACAAAAGCAGCTTAATGAGGAAAGGACTTATTCTGGCTCACAGTCCAAGGTTCTGATCCCTCATGGTGGGGAAGTCAAGGCGGCAGGAGTCTGAAGCCTCTGCTCAGATCTCATCCACAGTCAGGAAGCAGAGAGGGAAGTGAATGCTAGTGCTCAGTCCAGAATCCCAGCCTAGGGATTGGTGCCCGCCACAGTGGATGCATCTTCATGCCTCAGTTTACCTAATCAAGATAATCCCCCACAGGCATGCCCAGATGCCTGCCTCCCAGGTGTTTCTAGATCTCAAGTTGACAATTAAGGCAAACCATCCCACGGTAATTTACTCTCATAGGGAAGCACTTGAGGAAGTGCTTGATGATTGACAATCCTTGTGCAGGAGCCTGAGCTCTTGGTAGAGCAATGATGATATTAGTCATCATCAGTGTTCAGGGAGGCCTCCTGTTGCCAACACAGTTCTAAGTGCTTGTGTATTGTTCCCTTTTTCCTCACAGCCTGGTTTGGTATTATTTGGCATAATTTTTTTTTAATTTGACTGCTAAGGACAAGGAAGTGATGGAGGGTGACAAATACAGTCCTCTCTGTCCTGCCTGATGGATGAAGTGCAAGGAGACAGGCTATCTCCATCATCCCTGTGGTTCCCACACAGCTTTTGCTTTAGTGAATGGAAGCATTTTCCCAGATCAAGCTCTGAGCAGAGTAGATGGAGTCTGGTTGATCTTGTCAGTGCCTCACAGCCTGAGCTGAGTGGGAACAGAGATCCTGACTGGACAAATGGTCTCTAATATGAGTATAACTCAGAATATATGGCAGGAATTCATGCATGTGCCATTTCAGATGACCTTTGAATGTCTGACCCTTTGAAATAGACCTGCTTATCCATCCACCTGCCCACCCACCCACATATCCATCCATTCATCCTCCTACCCATCCATCCACCTACCCACCCATCACTATACCCCATCCATCCATCCGCTCACCCACCCCCACACCCATCCCTCCCTCCCTCCCTCCATCCTCCTACCCTATCCATCCATCCACTCACCTACTACCCACTCATCCATTCATTTGTCCATCCCCCATCTCATCGATCTATCAATTCCCCTATCTCATCGATCTATCCATCTACCCACCCATCACTATACCCCATCCATCCATCCCCCTAACTCATCCATCCATCTTCTGAAACTTATCCCTTCTATCTGCCCATTCGTCCATCCATCCACCCACCTGTCCTGTCCCATCCCATCCCATCCCATCCATCCATCCATCCACCTATCCACTCACCCACTGAATATTCTCTGAGATCCTATCCAATGTCAGGTCTGGCTCTAAATCATTCCATGATGAGATTTCTTGGGTCCATTTTAAATACATTGGCCAGGTAAGAGCTCTGTGGGGATGAGGGTGGTGTCCTGGACTTGGAGTCAAGAGGCAGAGTTGGAGCCTAGGCTGTGTCTCACTCTGCAATCTTTGGTAATGTATTGTATTCTTTAAGGCACAGAAGGAAGGCTCTTGGAAAATTTTTAGAACCATGTTTGGCTTATCAATGAGATCATTCTAACCCATGTCAAGTATCTGTCGTAATATACTGGGTAATGTTGACACACCAAGAAAATTAGACTTAAAACTTGCCCTCAGAGCTTTTATCTGTATATCTCACACCATAGCTGAGTCAGATAGTGCATAGAAAATGATGTGCCTGTGTATGTGTGTGCATGTACATGTGTGTGTGTGTGTTTTACAAGAAAAAAAAACCATTAGTACTAATGTTTAGTCATCACTTTTGATGCTAAACCCCTTATTGGATCTCAGTATACTCACTTCACAGTTGATGAAGCTGAGGCCTAGGGAGGTATAGGCATCTGATCAAAGTCACACAGGGACTAGGAGGTAGAGTCAGAACTTCGACTTGAGTGTGGAACCCTAGTCGTTTATCGATCTTCACTTTTTATGCTGGGGTTTGAGTGGCTTGGGTCATCCATACTCAAGCCAGACACTTCTCTCTGTGCTTGCAGCACCTATCACTTACTGACTCAGTAATTCTCTGCTACGTGTTTGTAATAGATTGAAGTTTCTGCTAAGTCCATTGTGAAGTAATGACACAGGCGATCTGTTTGCCATAGAAGTATTCCTGATCCCACATTTGCCCTCTGGAAACGGCAACATCCTTGTAAGAGGAGGAGGTTCTGGTTTTCACGATTCCCAGAGGAGAAACCATCAAGGCTATTGGAAACATGTTAGAACCAATGCATAACAAAATTGGCTTCATCCATCATGAAGCTGGCCAGCCACTCTGTTCTTGTCAGGATGAAAGAGAAAGCAAGGGAATGCTTTCTGCTTCATAAAGAGCTCCTTCCCTCTCCCTCCTGTCTGTGCTCTTCAACCCTTAACATTTTATTCCTCTTCCCCTAGACACACTTTCCAGAAAAGGGGTCATTTATGCTTAGTGTACAGATGGACCAATTTGGCTTTGCAGTCTCATAACCAGGCCTTTTCTTCCCCCAGCATCCCTGTGACCGCATCCCTCCCTCCACTTGAGTGGCCACTCTCCAATCAGTCCGGCTCCTATGAACTGCGGATCGAGGTCCAGCCCAAGCCCCATCACCGGGCCCACTATGAGACGGAGGGCAGCCGAGGTGCTGTCAAAGCCCCAACGGGAGGTCACCCTGTGGTGCAGGTACAGATTCAAATTCTCTCCCTTCTCTGTCCCATGTTTGTCACCAGGGGATTCATTCTGCCTGGCCACTGTTTGCCTCTTGGGAGGCTCAGATACATTTCAGCTTCTTATTCCTTTGAGAGGAGGGAAAAACCCAAGATGGCATTTGTGTCAGGAGCAGCTCAGGGAGGACAGTCTTGGGGAGCAGGATAAGGAGACCAGGGATACTCTGTGAGAGGCGACTATTGTCTTTTCTTTGTGATGGAGAAATTGCTAGTCTTTGGTAGAGGTGTTATAATCACAAGCATTTCCTTTTGTTTTCCCTAATCAATATCCTTTATGCTTGTGCCTCCTGGTTCATATGCTTTCTTTCTCCCCTTCAAAATAGTTGAGTTGAAATGTTCTCCACAGTTGTATAATCTGGAGAAGCAGGAAGTATTGATTAGTTTCTAGATTCTGGGATACATGGACCAGAGCAGCTTAATGAACTAGAATCTTCAATATATTTAAGTTAATGTAACTTTAAAAAAAATTCTGTCTTATAGTGGAACTATTCTGTGATAGGGACCAGGTTCTTAACCTAGAGAGTTCTTCAGAACCCCTTGCGGGGGGTGGAGGGGGTTCTTAAAAATGCAGTCTTGAACACACTGAAACCACGTCCCAGAAATTACAAAATGCATATAACATCCAAACAAACAAATAGAACTCCCAAAGCCCAAAACCTCCACTGGTACTTTGGAGGTTTTGGTTAAGTACTCTTGACTATGGTCAAATTTTGTGGTATACTTGTATGATAAGACTGTATTGAAGCCCATTGCACTGTAGAATTCAATATGCTAATGAGAAAGAAAAAAAGGGGAGGGGGACCCGCCATAAATCCTGGCTACAGCCTACTTGAACTTTAACCTTATAGTTTTAGAACTTGCTTCTTTCTACTCACTGACACCCCACAGCCTTGTCACCTACTTTCTTATGTGTTTGTGGTTGTTACCTCTGTTCTCATGTGGTGGTGACACACATGACCAGTGTAGACTCTGGATTTTTATCTTCCTCTAAAGGTGGCCTGGGAACCCACTGGCCCCTTGGAGTATGTGTCTGCTGATACTACAGTGGGTAGGTTAGGGGGTGTCTGTGGGAAGCCCAAGCTGTTTCTCATTGCCTGGGTACCTCCTGGGCATTCTACTCCTAGAGGATATAGTGTTGACTTTGGGCCCTGGAGGAAAGAACAAAGACACTGTGAGTTTAAGACTTGGCCTCTGTGGACACTGGGTGGGGTGTCTCCCCTCTGGTGAGCTGGAGCTCTGAGATGCCAGCCGTGCTCCACCACAGCCTCTTGGTCTTCTCTGTCCCCACCGCAGCCTCTCTCTATACTTTCTCAGCCCTTGGCCAAGGCCTTGAGGCTCCTGAATGGTTCAGCAGCTAGGGAGGTCTAACTCTGCCCTGTTGGCTCAGCGGGGCCTCCAACTCTGCTGGGTCCGCAGTCCTGGGAATGCAAGGGAAGCGAAAATGAATTGGCCTGCTTGGCCAACGTCTCTGCCATCACAGTCTGGTGTCACATGCCTTTTGCCTTGTGACCTTTTGTCCTGTTTTCAAGTCTCTGTGGCGGGAAGGCTGCTCTATACCTGCCATTCTAACATACCTGAAAACTGTTTTGTTTTGTTTTTTCCCCAAGAAAGTCTTCCTGTTTTTAGTGACTAGGCTTAGCTTGTAGGGTGGGAACCTAGCCTGCAGGTTGCTGGAAGAGTGAGTCAAAGATTCTGTCTGTAATAGACAGACTTATTGATGGCAGATTAGGAGTAGGGGGCCATGAGAGGTGGCTTCTGGGATATTGCAGAGAAAGGGCAGGAGTTTCAACTTCAGAATGCCTGACAGGAAACCAGAGCCAGGGATGGCACTGCTTAGTCTGTCTAGCAAGTGGATTCATGAATGATCATTTCTTGGGCTTCCGCTGTATGTACCATCTGCTGAGCTCGACTCTGGGTAGAGAGAAAAGTCAGTTGTCCCTTTTTCATGAGGGAGAGACAGCAATGGGATCATGGGAGTGACAGAGAGACAAGCTGTGTCAAGGGACAGGAGGGAAAAGTGCCTCGAGTTTGGGTTGACACAGCAGTGGATGTAGACAGGCTGAACGTGAGCTGGGAGTTCTCTGAGGAAGGAACTGGGGCTGAGGATGCCTGGAAGAGCAGCATGTGCAAATGTCCAGGGACTGAGGAGGCTGAGCAGCTCAGAAGGATGTGTAACTAGAGCATGTGGCCCAGCCTCTGGGGAGACCGGGATGGAGACACACCTGATGTTCATGGGGAGCAGAGAGCTAGGGGAGGAAGAGAGCTGGGAGACTCTTTCCTAAGGCTCTGTGCACTTCGGGCCATGTGGCGCCTTCATTCACTGGTCACTTAACACATATTTATAAAGCACCTGCCATGGACCAGGCAAGGCACTGGTTACTGGAGTTACATTGAGCCCCAAAGCCAGAAAGTCTCATGCTCATTCACTTACATTTTAGCAGGATGATGGACTTTCAGGATGCATTTACCATGTGTGAGAGGCCATCCATTTAGATCAGGGCGATGCCATGAAACTTGTTCAGATCATTGCTGTTTAACAGTGGAGTTCTAGTTGTTACAGTGCTTTGCTTGCCATCCACGGCTCTGTGGACAGTTTGCCATGACGTCCCACTCACAATAGAGAAAGCCATAACCAACCATGCACACACCCCCAGCCTACCCTCCCTCCTCACAGCATCCTGCACTGCCCTGGCTCTGATCCAGTTGCCAGCTTTTTGGAGTCCAAAAGTTCTGGTCCTCAGGGGATTCTGACTGGCTCTCTCAGGGGACCCTACCACCCGCTGAGTACAGTTGGCTGTGGCCTGTGGCCAGGGCGGCCATGTGAGAGCTGGACTTTCCATGTTGAAACAGAAGCAGATGTGGAGATAGAGATGACGATCAAGAGACAGAGGAAGCCTCCGGGTGCAGAGCAGGCTCTGCTGCCCTTCTGGGATCACAGAGGGCTGAACTCCAGGTTTAACCAAGCTTCTGTACCATTCATCCAGGGCTGGGCCATGGAAAGTTCCAGAAATGGAGTGAACTGGAAGTTGAGTCCAGAGGAAGCCTGCCATTCTACACCTGAAGTTCATGTCTGTCTTCTGGCCTGTTACTTTTCAAAGTAAACCTGTGCTTTTAAAGTTTATAGTTTGTTCATTTTCCTCTAAAATTTCATTGAATAGACTGTATTCCCTTCAAAATGATATATATGAATCCCTGGGTTTTAGCATGGGAAGTGAATTAAAAAAAAAAAGAAACTTTTTTTTTTTTTTTTGTGGCTGGAGATGTAGCTCAGTTGGTAGAGTGTTTGCCTAGTATGCATGAAGCCCTGGGTTTGATTTGCAACACTTCTAGAAAGGGGTGAGAGGTATATGTACATGTCTGTAGTCCCAGCACTTGGGAGGCAGAGGCTCATAAGTTCAAGATCATCTTTGGCTGCATAATGAGTTAGAGCCCAGCCTAGGCTACATGTGACCCTGAATTAAAAAGAAGTGGGGGGTGAGGGAGGGAGAGAGGGAGGAAGGAAGGAAACTTCTTTGAAAAAAAAAACAAGGCAGCTGCTTTGAGGCTCTTCACCTTTTAAGTGGGGTCAGAAGCCTTTTCTGACCTGGGGGTGTCTCTGTCTCTGCCCCAGGAGAGCAGAGAGCCTGGATGGTCCCCTATTGGGTCCTCTGCTGCCTGCTGTTCCTGCCCTGGTTGCTCTGAGTCCTATAACCACAATCTGCTCAGAAATTCCTAGAGATGCTGCTCTGTCTTCATCCTCATCCAACCTCTTTGCTGCGGCATCACCAGACTCCGGGATGTGTGTTCAACTGCAAGAAAGATTCACTGTCCTAGTTTTGTCTCTGTTGCTGAGATAAAATACCATGCCAAGAAGCAACTTAGGGGAGCTCACAATTCCAGGTTCCTCTGTGGGGAAGTAGAGGCAGGAACTTCACATCCACAGTGAGGAGTAGATAATGCATGAGTGTGGGCTTAGTGCCCAGATGGCCTTTTCTCTTCTCTTGCTAATCCAGGGCCTAAACCACTTTCAGGCTGGGTCTTCCTCTATCACTTAAGGCAATTGATACAGTCCCCACAGACATGCCCCCAGGCCAACCTGATCTGGATAACCCTTCACTGAGACTCTTCCCAGGTGGCTCTAGGCTGTGTTGAGTTGAGTTCAGCAGTCCTTTAGGAGAGTGCTATGGTCATTGTGACTTTGGTTCTCACCCCAGGACAGTTTTTAGAACTGTCAAGCATATCTGACCATGGCCCTCAGGCCGTACACATCTCAAGATAGCTGTGAATATGGCCTAACACGTTTTTTTGACCATAGTGTCCTATCACCATGTAAAAATGTTGAACACTACAGCCCTACCTACTCTGTCTCAAGCAGCGGTTGAGACTTCAGGAGGAAGCCCTCAGGAGGGCTTCCTTACAGGAGCATAACCTGGCCTGACCCCACATCTCGGCCTGCAGAGCTGGGCTTTGTGGTCTCAAGCACCTGTCCAGGAGTCTGGGAAAGCCACATGCTTTTACATGTCAGCAGACTGCAGGTCCTTAAGGCTCATCTGTCACATGTCAGCTCTTGGAGGAGGAGAGGGGAGAAAAGCCAGGCAGCTTTGAGTTTTCCTTCCTGGCAGGGTCATCAGGGAACAGCGCCCCTCAGCCAGCTGGATGTGTGGGCTTCTCTGATAACTCTCTGAGCTTGGGACCGCCCCCTTCCTTTCTAGATGCGTGAGAGGAAGTGGATCTTGCTGATGGTCATTTGTCCTGGCGGAACTGCTGTGTTGGCATCTATGGAGGCTCACAGACTTCTGGGGGAGGGGAGGAGCAAGGTGGGTTCAGCTGGCTCAGATTTCAGAAGAAGGGGCTGGAGGAACATGCTCCGAGGTGACTGGGACCTTTCACTCAGGAACTCTTTATTCTTTACCAGGTGCCTGCCAGGGACCTGGAACATGGTGATGGGTAAACATGAGAATCCCTGTCCCTACAGAG